CAGAATCCCCCTCCCCATACCTCCTTCCCGTGAGCTCTGGTATCTCATCTGAAGTTACCTTCCTACCCTTAAATGACGGGTCTCCCTCCCTTCCTCTTTCACAGAAGAGACAAACTGTGAATGGGTTTGCCAGGGTACAAAAGGACACAGCTTTAAAAGCTTTTAATGCGCTAACTCATTTTGCAAAGAGAAAACAGTAATGATAGTTTACATTTGTATCATTTTAATACTTTCAAAAAACTTTCATGTGGGTTTCTCAGTTGATCTCAGTCTCTCTCTTAAGGTAGGCAAGATCTGTACAAATGATACAAAAGACTGCTAATGTTTACTGAGTATCTCTTACATGCCAGGCTCTTTGCTAAATGCTGGACATCTATTGTCTCATTTAATCTTCACTACAACCCTATCAAGCAAGTATTATCATCATCGCAATTTTGCGTATAAAGAAACAACTGTAGTTTGGAAAGAAATTGTCAGATCTTTTAGCTGGTGGGAGAGTGGAGGCAGAATCTGAACTCAGGAAGTCAGTCTCCAGATTTAAAGTTTTCAAGAGAAAATTATAGAGACAGCTAGGAAATTAGGTGGCTGTGAATTGGGGAGGAGGAGATGCCACAGGATGAAGGAAATCTAAGAACAGAAAAAATTTAAGACTTTGAAAACTCACAGTATTAAGTTTAAAAGAGCAAAGATGCCCCAGGACGTCTTATAAACAGGGCATTTATCTTTTTGAATCTGTTGATGTTTCAGCCCAGATTCTGCTGTCTTTGGTCTCTTCTTGAAAATCTTTCCTGCTTAGTAGTGTGCATACCCAATGTGGTTAGTTTTACAGAGAAGTTAGAGGCTAAAGAAAAGAAAGATGGGAGGTTTTTGCTTTTGCAATGAGCTATCTTGCTACTTCCTTTCTCTTCTTCCCAATCTGGAAAATCCTCCTGCTTTTTGAGAGTCTAGTGCTTGACCTCCACTTAAAAGGTCAAGCTTACCTGCTTAGGAAAGATTGGGTTTTGGTGTCAGCACAACCCTAGTTCAAATCCTGAGGCTGAGAGGGCTTGGCCTATTATAGTCTTGGAACTTTGGCCCACATTCATGAGCAGAGTTGATGCCACTCTAGGGGGTTTTGTGAGAAGTAGAGATAATATATGCACATCACCTGGCACACAGGAGAGGCTGAGATCCAGAGCAACAACTGAGAAGAAGGGAGAAGGATTTGCTGGTTGCTCAGTACCTTTTGTCCTGGGACCCTTTCCCACTTTGTGTGTAAGGGTGGTAGTGGGCATGGGGCGAAGGTCTGAGAGCTGTGCAGGATGCTGTGGGGCCGGCAGACCCTTGGAGGGAGTGTGAATGAGCTCAATATGGCCAAAACATGTGGGAACCTGGCATATTTCAAGGCTTGAAATTCACATAAGGGATGAAATTGAAGACAGGAAAGAGAGTGGTAACCAGGCAGCAAAGCCAGTGCTGACGTTGGTAAAGGTGAGTTGTGTCACCTCAGGTGTCGTTTGCCCATAATAAAGGTGTTCATGGAAGGGGAGCTGAGTGAAGATTTGGTAATAAAGGCGATCACCTTTGTCCCCATTCTCCTCCCTCAGAGTGTCAGATTCAGCAATCTTCAAAGCTACCCCAGAGTAGCTTCTGCCTCCAACAAAATTCCCTTCCCGACTCCTAGCAAACCCAACCCTCCCCACAAATGTTCCACCTCTGTACAAATAATGTTGACTAGAGTCTTTTGAATAAACTGCTTTTTATGTTGAATTACCATTCAGCAAAATAAAGAACATGTAGGTTAATAATCATTGTATCAAAGTGACTGCTGCCATTGTATATTAATTATGTCCCATGTTGCCTGGCCCCATACTCTGATTATTTGCAAGCTAATGAATACGAAACATCTCCCCTTATTTAAAGAAGAGCCAGGCAGAGTGACAAGAGCACTGCTCAGGGGCAAAATCTTGACTCTGACTCTCTTAGAAATTAATGACTTCAAACAAGCTACTTACGTTTTCCAGTCCCAGATTTGCTGTGTATAAAATGTCACAGCCTGTCTCCTTCCAGGGATCATATTTAGGCTGTAAAAGAAAATATTTGAAAGTGCTATGTGGACCTCAGATTTTGTTTAGACCACAGATCAGTGTTTTTATCTCTATTCCAACCCATATGTGTTACTGAACAAAATAAGCTAATGTTGACAATGGCATCCTATTCAGTGTCAAAATTTTACCTGTAGCTGCTTCTGCTGTTCAGTTAAAGCTGTGTTGGGCAAAACCTCCAAGGTCAATTTCAGGTCAATTCTGGAAAAAAAACAAAGGAGTGGTGAGGGTGGAGAAGCAAATATAAAAGAGCAAATTATGGTGGGCTTGAGATACTGGGCTGGCTCGTCCCTTCTGCTTGAACTGAATTCCAGGAATCCCACAGCTGGTAAAGGTAGCAGCTATTTTTCCCCAGACTACTCAAGGCTTATTTTCAAAATGAAGTTCTTTTTTTCATTCACAGCTGAATAAGGAAGTCGTCCATCTTCCTAAAAACACCACTTTCACCCTATTACTCTTGTTCAGAAAAACCTTCAGTGATTATCCATTAACTAGAAATAGATGCTGGAGTACAATTCACACTCCACTCCCTCTCCACACCTCCCACTCACCATCACCAGCCCCGCCTTGTTTACCCCTCTGGCTCCCATAAAGCAGGAGACGCCAGCTGGGCTGGTTCCCTCCAGGTTCCCCAAGTAACTGCTCCTTCTGGATAGGGGCCTTTGCTCACTCCTTTCTTCCGTCCTGAACTGATGAGTTTCTCTGCCCTCTCCCTATTTCTTATGTGTAATCTTAATCCTCCCTGAGTCTTAGTGTCTGATTTAAATCTCTTGCCTCTATGATGTCTTCCCCACCAATAGGTTTCGCCTCCACTTCTGCAGACCCTCTCTCTAGCACTGCTGTCACGGGCACATCCTCATTACAGCCCAGCCCTGGAGATGGCCCAGTCCATTTCTGGGGGCCAGAGCCTGTCCTGAGCAGCATTCTGCTCTCTCTCCATGGACGTGAGATAAATGGTTACAGGTGCCCATCATAAGCCACAGCAGATTGTCTTATGAGTGCTGTGTCTAGAAGGTGAGGCAGGACCCAGAACCATGTGATTCTGGCCATGGATCCAGTCCCACCCAGCTGCTCTGTCAGGGGGTGACTATATTTGTTTTGTTTGTGGGAGTAACTCAGTTAAAGTGAAGGTGGCTCCACCTGAGTCTCTATTGGAGAGAATCCCAGCTTGAACCCCTTTCTCCTTGGCCCCTGTAATAAGGGAAAAGAGGGAAAGAGACTCACATACTGACACTAACACAGCAGCGTCTGGGCCTGGCACCATGCTAGGACTATGCCAAGCGCCGGAAGTAGATTATTATCTCATTGCCTTCTTGCAAGGACCTGAAGACATTAATACTATTATAATCTCCATTCATAGCTGAGGAAACAGGAGCTCAGAGAGAATAAACAGCTTGCCAATGTCCAAGTAAGTGGTAAAGTTTGATTTGAACCCAGTTGTATCTGAGTCCAAAGCCTGGGTTTTTTTAATCTAGTCTACACCAGTGGTTCTCAAACTATGGTGTCCAGAGCAGTAGTAGCAGCATCTCCTTAAAATTTGTTAGAAATGTAAGTTCTTCAGCCTTGCCCAAGTCCTGCTGACTCAGAAACTCCTACTGATGGTGATCTGGGCTGTCACTGGTCCTCCTGGTGGGCGCATGCTCAAGTTTGAGTGGTGGTGTTCTGCTAAACCTCCCATGAGAAGATTCCTTATAACTCAGACTAGAAACCATATTGACGTGGGAACATTCTAGTATGTTGGGAACGTGTGGACCTCTGACCATGCCAAAGTCCCGTCTGACGTTTCTGTGCAAGCTGGTTCCTCATCAAGGCAGACCTGGAACTTTAAGTATGCCTGTAGATTTGGAGGGTAGGGAGACGGAGTTTTAAAAAAGAGGAAAAAAAATCTTAAATTCTTCAAGTCTCCTTGATAAAGTTTATCACAGTCCGATCATTTTTGTTTTATTTGCTTTCTGCTTATGTTGACCACCTGGACTGCCAATTCCACTGGTTAATGTATTGTTGGTCATTCATTCCATCCTTTATTCAGTAAACATTTGTTGGGTGCCAGGGAGGTGACACGCACAGTATGAGGTGCTTGTGTTTGAAGAGTGAGTTAGAGACAAACCCAGTCAGCTTCTCAGAGCCCACAGTAAACAGGCAATCACCGAGAAGTGTGAAAAGTGCTGCCCAGGGGTAGGACGAGGCACTTTGGGAAAACAGAGGGAGGTCCCTTTCCCAGACTTGCAGTCAGGAAGGCTTCTTGAGGAGGTAAGGGTGCCGCTGAAGACCTAAGGAATAAAGAGTAATTAACCTAGTGAAGGGAATGGAGTGGTGGCTGGTGATATGGAAGAAAAGTCTGTATCACCAGCTGAGAAATCCACATGTGGGAAGACCTGGAGAAGACAGTCACCCTGGCATGGGAAGGACTGAAACAAGTTCAGAGTGGCTGAAGCCCTGAGTGTCGGGTGGGGCCAGGAGGGAGAGGAGGTAACAGAGAGAGGCTGAAGGCAGATCCGATGGGCCCCATAATCCTGGTTATAGAGGTTGAACTTTATCCTTAGGGAAATGGGAAAATGTTTTAAGAAAAGACGTGATATGAAAAAATATATATGTTAGCAAGGTCACTCCAGTACCTAGATGGCCTTCTTTTAATATAATTTCTTTATTGTTGTTGGATGCATTATCACTGTCGATGGACCATAAGCTCCTTGGGAGTCGTCCTTGCACTTCTCCTCAATGTCACGTGGGTGTCTGCAGTCTCTACTCCACACCCTGTCCAGGCCAAGTAGGAACTCAGACTCTGCCTGTGAGTTTCCAACTGGTCAGGCGGTGTGTTTGCTCATTTGCATTGCTTTTATCACCCCATGAACAGAAGTAGGTCACCCCTCAGAGACCTGATCTGCCTTCAGCATTATCTTCTACTCTTGGCTGCAGGGTGCCTCTCCTTGCTGGTGACAGTCCAGCACACAGAGCGCTATGTCACCCTGTTTGCCTCCATCGTCCTCAAATGTGACTACACCACCTCTGCCCAGCTCCAGGACGTGGTGGTGACGTGGCGCTTCAAGTCCTTCTGCAAGGACCCCATCTTTGACTATTACTCTGCATGTGAGTGCCCTCCCCCTTCTCTCTTCCTGGGTCCCTCTGTGAAGTTCTGCCGTTAGGGGGTAGGAATTATTTCAGATCACAAACCCTTATAGTGAGAAGAAGCCACAAAGATTACTTGAAGCAGTCCTCTCATTTTATAGATAAACAAACTGAGGCCAGGTAGATGAACTAACTTATTCAAGGTCACGTATAATTTATTTTAAAATTTATGTCCCACCTTGTTCTAGAAAGATTTAAGGCAGTTCAGACATTAATTAAAAGGCAGAGCAAGTCCTGACTCCTAATCCACTCCTGGTTGCATGCCAGTGCACTGAGATGGGGTTGCAGATCTGCCTCCCAACACCGCCCTGATCTTGGAATGCAGTCAAGAAGACACCCCCCAGGATGCATGAGGAGCGGTCATTTGTGAACCTGCCCACTGCCACCTTCCCTCCTACAGCCAGCCTTCCTGGTGGACGGTCATTTCTCTGCTGACTAAACACTCATAGTGATGGACGCTCACTGGCCTCAGGGAACACACTCATTGTTGGATATCTCTTAGTGCTGCACAACTCCCCCCACATTTAGCTGAGTCCTTCCTCTCAATCACAGCTGCCACTCTCATGTCAGTTCTGCTGTCTGGAGCCAAAGTTCTTCCTAGCTGCCCAACTCTGCCCTCTCGTAACGAACAAACCCCAGATCCCTTCCATCAGCCCAGGACAATTAACCTTGTAGAAATTTTGAGAATAGATGTGGACACCCTGATTGTAGGAAGGAAGTGAGCTTCCTGAGATGAGGAAAAGGAGGGGGGAGGCATCAGCTTTACCTCTTTCAGCCCTGACTAATTTCTCCCGGTGTGAATCCCAAAACCTAACTGTCTGAGCCACCCACAGAGCCGGACATTGTCCCCAAAAGACCCCTCTCCAAATCGAGGCATTGTTTCCTGGGGTTACTCTTAAAATGCCTGGGGCAAATGGGAAAGTAGGAGACACTAGAGTAATAGACATTTGCCACCAGCGGATTTAACAGCTCTCAAGCATTGTATTATAAGGGCAGGTGGGTGGACTCCATCGGGGCAGAGTCCAGGGGACTGAAAATGAGGCAAGGGAAGTTGGGATGGGAAACAGGGGGATGCAGCCAGGATTTGGAAATGATGGCCTATTAGGATGGTCTGGAGTCTTGCTGCTCAAAGTATAGTTTATTGGTGTCACCTGGGAGCTCATGAGAACTGTAGAATCTCAGATTCTCACTCTAGACCTACAGATGAGAATCTTCATGTTTAACAAGATCCCCAGGGGATGCGTAGGCTCAGGAAAAATTGAGATGCTTCACTGCCCCCAGGGAACAGTAAGGGCACGTTTCTTCACGGGAGTTCCCCCTTGCTGTGTGACTTGGGTGTGTCCTCTCTCCTCAGCGTACCAGGCCGCTTTATCCCTGGGACAGGACCCATCAAATGATTGCAATGACAACCAGCGGGAGGTGCGCATCGTGGCCCAGCGGCGGGGGCAGAATGAGCCTGTGCTGGGGGTGGATTACCGGCAGCGCAAGATCACCATCCAGAACCGTGAGTGTGGGGGAGGCAGCAGGGTACCTGGGGTGGTGAGAGGTGTAGATACCAGGCCTGGTAGGCTGAGTCATTGTGGGGATTTCCCCTCTTTTCTGCTGCCTGCTGTCTACTTGGTCACTGTCGTTGTTTGAGGAAAGGGCCACATACATAGAAAGTGCTGCATCGTCTGAAGTCACTCTCCTGGAAGTTGGTTTCTGGATGAGAGGATGTCCTACAGCTTTGGCTAATGGTCTGAGAGTGGGTGGTTTCCTTTGCTTCTCTGAGATTCAGGGCTAAGGTGTGGATCAGGCTCCTTTGATCCCTTCCACAAATTGCTCTCAGGGCCCCCTCAAACTCCAGGCTCCTGAGTTTTCCTCTAGCCACTCCTGTTCTACATATCTAAGGAAATAGGGGCTTCCAAGTAGATGGCCACCTTGAGACCATCACCCTCCATTGGTAAAGGAAAGAGCATTGGGCTTAGAATCTAAAGATCTGGCTGGTATCCTGTTGCTTCTGCGTGCTAGCTCAGTGACCAGCCGCAGATAGTTTCTCTGGCCTCTCTTACCTCATCTGAAAGATGAGCATAATGGTCTCTATCCCCACACTGAAGTGAATATCAAATGTGATATCTCAGAGCTATGTGGAAAGCATATCTATTCTTTGTGCCTCGTACAAGGAATGTGGTTAGAGCCCTCACTGTGCGGTCAGATTCAGGTGAAGGTTCCCATTCTGTACCTACAGGGTGTGTGAACCTGGGCAAGTCCCCTCAATTTTTTACCCTCAATTTCTATAAAATGGGACTTGCCATAGTACCTATCTTCTGGAGAGTTGTCTACATTAAGTGAGAGATGACACACATAAAGCACTTAGCAAACAGTGAGTGTGCAGTGAACTTTAGTTATGATCGCTCAGTACACTCTTGGATGGATGGGTTAGCGCCCCACATTCCTATCTTGTAATCCAAGGTTGCTGCAATAGGTTATTGGCACAGAATTCAGAGCCTATTTCAGTGAGCTTTGTGTACTGTGTCAAATAAATTTTTGCTGTTTAGAAGGGAGAAAAGGGGGAGAATACACCCAGCAGGCCACTCATGGTACCCATAGCAATAATGTGAAGACATCAGTGAATATTCTCTGATGACTTAAAGGTGGATCATTTACAGAGGGCCAGTTTAATGCTTGTGTCCAATTTTGTGTATAAGACCTTGGCTGTAATCCTTAAGTCTGATGTTTTTACATTCAACCTCAGATTTCCCCAAGCCAGCCCTTGCACTCTCGGCCTTAAGGAACATCTGTCTTTCTTTTCCAATCTCTAGGTGCATCCTCAAAGATTCGGGGTGGTTCTACTTTCTCCAGAGCCCGCAGAATTATCTCTGATCTGAACCCAGAGTCTAAAGTCTCTTTAATTAGCAAGTCTCCTTTACAGTTTTTGAGGGATGAAAGTCCCCATAGGTGATAGTCCTTGCTTTTCTGTCTTTTTTTCTAATTCTGAGCAGTGCTGTCCCCTACCTCCACTCCCAGCCACCTTTGGATCAAACTCTGCTTCTTTCTTACTCCTGTGAGAAGGTAGTATTTCCCCTCATTTCTTATTTTTACTTCTAGGCTTGTTGTGACTTCCTGGCGCCTTTGTTTTCTGACACTTTGATGCCCGTGTTTGCATTATTTGGGATGATCTGTCAAATCAGTTCTTGGATCATTTAAAATATTAACATACCCAAATGCCCTCATTACTCTCACATCCCTAAAGTAATCTTTACATCTTTAATAAAAATTGGGGCAGATTTATCACACACATTAACCTTTGAGAGGGAATTTCCCCCAAAGCACTCTCACCGTTCTTCCAAGTCTGGGGTAAGCTTGCTTCTGGGAAAGACAGAGGGTTTGGAAAATCATGGGTAGGAAAAAAATTGTAGGGATTGACGTAGAAAGAGAAGGAAACAGAAGTCAAAGTTAGCTCCAATGTTGCATGACCTCGCAGTTTTGTTTCATTTCCTCAATAAGTGTTTTTTGACAAACAAATAATAAAGAATTGCAGATATGACTGCCGACTAAGCAGGAGCAAGTCTATAATGCTCAGGCCTTTAAGAATTTGAAGATGTCCCCTGGTACCTACTAGGAGGGACGTGAAGGCTGCCCTGATGCCCCTGACCAGCCTTTAAGCCCCTTCAGGACAGAGACGGATGGGTTTTGTTCCTCTTCAGGTCTCCCACAGTATCTGACATAGTGATGAACCCACAAAAGGTCTTTAGTGTACATTTGTTGCATTTACTAAACTTGAACATATCATTCATCTGTCTTAATGGGGTAGCACAGCGCTTGTTGCTCACGAACTGGAATTCTTTTCTTGAGTAACATTTAAAATATTGACATTTCATCCTTTCTTATTCAAGTTAATCTCATAACCTGTCCCTTCAAGATCCAAATGTATCCATTTGTAGCAGGCTGTGGAGTTTTCCACCCAGTTTGGAGAAGACATCGGACCTTAGCGGTTAGCAGCACCAGCTGTGAGGTGGAGAGACTTGGGTTTGAACCTACGTCTGCTGAGCATTATGTCTCTGTTCTTAGGCCATTTTTTTAGCCTCCAGGAGTCTTGGTTTCCTCATCTGAAATACAGCTAATAATCACACCCACTGTAAGGGGATTAAGTTTGACTGCGAGTGCAATGCCCAAAATATGAGTGACTTAAACAATGTAGAAGTTTATTTATTCTCACGTATAAATATGGAGGTGGACAGTCCAGAACTAGTGTGGAGGCTCTGTCCCATTAAGTCCTCAGGGACCCAAGTCCTCAGCTCCTTCCAGCTCAGCAAGAATATCATCTTGTTCCTCACAGTCCAAGATGGCAGCCATCACATTTGCTATCCAGATACCAGAGTAGAAAAAGAGACGAAGAAGAAAAGGGCAAAGGTGTTCCCAAACTGTTTTTAAGAAAGTTCTTAGGAGCCGTCATGTGACCTTTTTGCTTACTTTCTATCCTCCACAACTGAGTCACATGTCTGTGTCCATCTGTAAGAGAGGATGAGAAACACTGATTTTATTCTGGGCGGCCACGTACATGACCAAAAATTCTATGACCATGAGAGAAAGGGAGAATAGACACTGAGAGACAGCTATCTCTACCTCACCCAATTAGAGAGTTGTGGTGGGAATTAAGTGAGGTGATGTATCCAAAATCCTTTCAATCCTTACCTAGCAGGGCTCAGTGAGTGAATGGTCGGTTCCAGCACCACTATACTGTTTGAAGAAAGAGGAGGGTCTCACAGGAAGGAACTTTCTCTGAACTACAAGGGGCCCTCTTACGATGTGGAAGGACAACGCTTGGGTCTTGAAGCTACCATAGGCTAGAAACCACTGGTACTTTCTCCCTCCTTCTTTGCAGGAGCAGATCTTGTGATTAATGAAGTGATGTGGTGGGACCATGGAGTGTATTATTGCACCATTGAGGCTCCAGGGGACACATCAGGAGATCCAGATAAGGAGGTGAAGCTCATCGTCCTGCGTAAGTGCTGCTGGAGCTTTCTCTTTGGCCACCCCACCATCATGACACTTTTACATCCAGAAAAAGACAAAACCAGAAACCAGCAAGCCCAGGTGGTGCTTGTTGGATTGCCAACCTCCAAAGTTCCCTTATCAAAGCTAAACTTTTTTTTTGCCAATATATTGGTCAACCTTAACCTGTAGGTCAAGAGCTATGTTTATTAGACCTCCAGAATGTTAGAACTGGAAGCATGCCTCACAGATTTAGTTCAACCCCTGCTTGGCGTCTCCCTTCAGACTGGCTGACGGTGATCTTCATCGTTCTGGGAGCCCTGCTCCTCCTGCTGCTGATTGGAGTGTGCTGGTGTCAGTGCTGTCCTCAGTATTGCTGCTGCTATATCCGCTGCCCTTGCTGTCCCACCCGCTGCTGCTGCCCTGAGGAAGGTGAGAGGGGACAGACAAGCAGTGGGACAGGGTGGTACTGGAGCTTGGTGCCCCAGACAGATCAGCTGCACGTGCCCAGATCAAAACCTCAGGTTCTTCCAGGATCTCCTCCATGCCCTTCTCCCATCACAGGCTCAGAGGACTTTGGCCTCAGCCCAGAAAAATGATGCTTGGGGAAGCTGTAGAGCCAGGTGAGAGGACTTCTGTCTGTCTGCTTGCTAGCCTGCCTGAGGCCTCCTTCAGATGGCTCTGCCTACGGAAAGCAATGATTTTTTTGATATCGTTTTGAGTGAGTGCGCAGATTGCTGTGAATAGTGTGGTGATAGCTCCTAGGCATACGGATGGCATTTCCTCAGTGGCCCTGAGAAGCCTGTGCTCCAGGATTTGCTCCTAGCACTGACCTTGCTTGGACATGAGGTGGCTGGAGGAAGTGGTTTGAATGTAGCAGAGAGAGAGAAGCCCACTCCTTAGAGACGACTTGAAAAAAACAGACCAGAGGAGAGAGGTGTTAGAGCAGTGGTTCTCAAACTTAAGCTCACGTGAGAATCTCCTGGAGGGCTCATTAAAATGTAATTGCTGGCTCCACCTCCAGAGGTTCTGGTTCAGTTGGTCTGGGGTGGACCCAAGAATCTGTGTTTTTTCAGAAGTTCCCAGGTGATGTGGTGCTGCTGGTCTAGGGGCCACACTTTGAGAACCTCTGTGTTTAAAGGAAGGGAAGAGGGAACAGAAGAAGATCTTGCCCTTAACGTGATCCTTCTTTGAGGTGAAAATTGCCCTTTTAAAACAGAATTATGACATGCTCTGAAAATTTGGCTGCAGAATGCATGGTAAAGGCAAAAGAATAAAAATTATTTTACAAATCTTTTCTTAGTAAATAGATGGTGTGGAATCAATTGCTTTAAAAGGAAGGAGATTTTGTGTTTTCTAAGTAACATTTCCTTTTCCTGATGATATAAGTAAAGTATTGCATTGTAGAAAATTTGAGAAATTCAGTAAAATGTAAAGACTAATCTGAGTACCCAGAGATAGCCACTTTTATCATTTTGGTCCATTTGAAAGGAAATTTTTTTAAAGGAAAAATAAGAAATTGCATCTTAAGATAGAAACAAAACCTAATCTACAATGTCAAGAAGGTCAGTGGGCTGAGTCTGGTTTCAGGCCTATGTTCCGAGGTTGCTTTCTTACAGGAAAAGAGAACTAACTTTTTTTGGATGTTTGCTATTTGTAGGCCCTTTGCATATATTTCCCTGTTGAATCTTCACACCCCTAGAAGGCAGATATCATCACTATTGAACAAATGAGGAGACTGAAAGTCAGAGAAGTCACACAGCTAGTAAGTAGCAGAGGCAGTGTTGAATCCATGTTCATCTGACTCTGGAGTGCCTGACATTCCCACAGCAGCGGCTGACGCTACCTCTGTGTAGATCACTATGAGATTGTTTGAGACACCAAGGAATTCCTTAAAGAGAGGAAAAGTAGCAGAGAACTCAGTTTTGGGTCATGGAGCTTCCTACCTTTCAGGGCCTCTGGGAAAGATGCCGTGGAGAAGTCACCATCACTGAAGTAGGAATATGCAGAATGAGATGAGAAAAACCAAGATGCTTCTTAGAGCCCCTAGGTCAGTGGGCCACTTAAAACAGGCAGGACTGGGGACAAAGTCAGCACAAATGGTAAATATATCTGCTGTCCTTGAGCTGATAAACAGGTTCTGGGAGAGAGAGGTTTCTCCTAAGTGGTTAGAATTCATTTAGAAGAAATGGTAAAACAAAGAAATGTAGGCCACAAATAAAGGTCCCTGGACTTGAGCAGATGACGTCACTTTCAAAGTGAGCCCCTAGGGCAGACTGTCCTAAGTTTGGTGACAAGAGGAGATTACATGGAGGGGGCAAAAATTGTTAAGGAAAGCTCGGGGATGGGGTAAGGGAGGTGTGTGACTGTTGGTTTTTAGAATAAGATAACCCTAAGCATATTTGTAGGCACAGAACCAAGGCCAATAGAAAATGAGTAAAACGCACGATGAGGAGGAGATCACTGCAGAGTGGTGGAGCTAGTGGGAGAGACATCAGGCTTACAGTGAACGGACTACCTTTAGAAAGGAAAGGAACGGCAGCCTGACCTCTGAAGAGAGGGAGATAGCCATCAAAATGTGGAAGATGATTAAAGTATAAGGAAGGAAGCTGAGAGAGCTCACATCAGCCGGACTTGCTTCCAACAAAATTCTAGACACAGAAGGAAGCTTTGAGAACGACGTCAGTGGTTCTTGAACTTCTCTGACCACAGCCTGCCTTCCTAACTTGCTCCCACTTTCCAGCAAGAGTTAATAGAGGACCTGAGAGGAAAACAGTGAAAATGACGCCAAATTTTAGTAACCCTTGATAATTCACTTAATACTAGTAGACAGCCCACAGTAGAACTTAAAGATGAAAGTTATTGAAACTGGATCTTAGTTTTTCCATGAGAACTGGAGAAACAACTTTCATCTCTAGATGGGTTATTGGCCCTCGTCCTCACAGAAGCTCTAAGTGCGCCCTGCAGTAGACCACAGGCCACATGAGAATCTCTGATCTATGCCACCCACTCCCCAACCCCTCACGGCGGAAGGAAGTGAGGCCTAAAGAAACTTCTCCACAGTTACACACAGCTTGTGAGTGGCGGGTCCTGGAATAGATATAGGTCTCTTGATTCCATGCTCAGGACTGGTTCCTCTTCCTCAACAAAGATGATGCCATCAGCTGAAAGTGCATGGGGTCGGGGGGAAGGCAGAAGTGGGGCATGTTTAAACTGTGGCTCTAGAGGAGGGAAGCAGGGTGGAGAGATCAGTCAAGGAAAGCCAGGTTGGGAAGGAGGGCTATTTGAGGTTGGTTGCCTGACTGTACAGTCAGTTCTGGCAGTGTGGGCCCAGGAAGCATCTACTGGTGGTTCCCTAAAACTGAAATGGTAAGAGTTCAAAGGGTATGGGATTCTAGGAACTCCTGAGGATGTTGCTGAAGTAACTGGTCAGTCCAGTCAGAGGAGACTGGTAGAATGGGAAAAAGCAAAAGGACTATGTGACCATGGGTCCAAAGAGGGCCCAGAAGGGGTTCTGTGAGAGTGGAGAGGAGCTGGTAAGGAATGATAAGCAGTTACAGGCTCGTGCGGAGGGAGGTCTTCAGGGGCACTACAGGTGACGCTGGCTGCAGGGGAGGAGAGGCACAGGTCTCTGCAGAAGGGCTGGTGTTGGCTGTCATTTCTGTCACAAATATTAAAGAATATGCTCTGAGTTTTCCTCAGAAATGAGGATAAAATGCCTTTGGTAATTTAGTCTCCAAATGTGTAATTTTGTCTCTCCTATGGGATCTAAGGCAAAAGAAGAAACTTCTTATAACAATTTCTTATAACAAGAAGAGCTAGTATCTATTGACTGTGATGTATTAGGCATTTCGTGTGTATTAGCTCATTTAACCTTGATGACCTTGTGAAATAGGTATGACTGCCCCTAGCTTCCTCCTCCTACATGAGGAGACTTGGCTCAGACGCTCTGGAAACTCACTCAGAATCACACAGCTAGTACATGCTGGGATTCAAGTTGAAGTTCATCTGACTCTCATAGCCCATATTTAAGGACACCTATCCCTGAGGACCATATTTCTCAGAAGGTTATTGAGAATCCTCAGTGGCCAACTCCACTTTGACTCCCTGTATTGCAATTAGGGAATTGGTTGAAAACACAGATTTTCTTGTCTTGCATTAGACTGAAGGAGAGTCCCTGGCAGTGGGATCCAGAAGTCTGTATTTTTAACAAACTCATTAAAGGTGACCAAGGCAGACTGTACTCCAGTGAGGTTCAGAGATAACTTATTAGGAGGCTTTTGAAGCTTTGCTACTTTCTCCATGTTTCTTATTTTATTGTCCATCTGATTCCCCATTAGGTGAATGACAGGAAACCCTGATAGTCTGGACATCCCCATGGAGCTGTTTTCTGGAACAGGAGGGCAAGGGAGAAGCTCAGAGGCTGTGTTTTCTACTCTCATTTTACCAGTTCCAGTGCATCAGGGAAGGGGAGGACCCTGGTAAAAACGTTGTAGCAGCTAAGAAGGGAGCCAGTGGGTTAATCTCTGGAGTTTGTGAAAATTTGACAAGAAAGCTCATGGAGGATCTGGAAAGGTCTCTAGGGAGTAATCTGTGCAGGGTGTCCTGTTAATTAAAAAAGTCATTTGGGGAGCAAGGAGTAAGCCCAACTCCCCCTTGCTCTCCCATTGAATTAGGGAAGTAGGGGAAGGAAGTGGCCAAAAGGGAGAATGGTACTCTCTGGAAGAAGCCGGGATTCAACTAAAGTGGCAGGGCATGGGAGAGTTTTTCCCAGTGGAATCAGATGTCCCCCAGGCCTTGGAGGCAGTGACTAATCTGGAGTGGATTTTGAAAGGTGTGGAACTGAGCTGGAGAGAAATAAGGTGAGGGGTTACTGCTGGAGAAGGTTTTGGGGTTTGTGAGTGTTTTTTTTTTTTTTTTTTGCTTCATCACAGAAATAAAGGAGTCTGGGGACTCGGTGGTTTGGCAGAAGGAGCACAGGCTTGGGCGTCAGATAGACACAGGGTCACATCCTGCCTCTGCCGGTGGTTACCCGTTGTGGGCCCTTGAGCTGGGAAGGTAACCTCTCTGAGCCCAACTTCCTCATCTGATTCCCACATTAAGGGAGTTCTCTGAGGACTAGTTAGCTAATGTAAAATGTCAGGCATGTGTTAATCAGGGCATCAGGTGTGCCGATGGTGGCACATATAGGGAGCTCAGGGGAGGCATCTGTTAGCAAGAGGGCGAGGAAAGTGCTGAGCATGTGGGCTTGTCTTTGGAGGGTCAGGAGTGCCGTCTGTCTGTTGGCGTGAAGGTGTGGTAGCTGGCTGAGCTGCTATAAGTTTCCATCCGATTTCCTCTGGGCTAGGCTGTGACTCACCATGAGGGCCATAGCTCCAGGCATTTCTGGGGGTTCTGCTGCTACCACTTCCTGTTGTGCTGGAAGTTTGTTTCACGCTGGAGCCACCGGGCAGCCATCCAAATGGCCCCTTAACTGCTGGCCTCAGTAAATCCCCCACCCTGTGCAGCCGGGTCCGGAATGCCTGCCTTCTCCCCCTCCTACTTGTGGCAGGAGGAAGCTTCAGGCAGAGCCCTGCTGCTTCAGGGGTGCCACAGGGCTCGAGGACCCCAGAACATGGAAAGAGTGCCGAGCTGGGGGCCTGAGGCAGGCACTTCCTGCACTTAAACACACAAGTACGTTTCCTGTATGCGTGACTAGACAGCGACTTCGGGAGACATGTGGCACTATCACAATGACCTCAAAATAGAAATCGTGAACAAAAACAACTAAATGCTTTTGTTTTTAATTTGCGCTCACTGTGGGTGGTGTGCTTCAGACCACTTGCACCTAAGGGACTGCAGTGACATTTTCTATGGATCCCTTGTGCTGCTTTTCTATATTGTTTTCTTTGCCCTGAAAGGAAATGGTGTTTCCCTTCTCCACCTCCACCCTACCCCTTAGAGATTCCCTCTAAGAGATTCTCCCTAAGTAGGGAAAACCCCAACATTGAATAAGGTGAGGAGCAGAGTAGAAAAGATCCACTGGGATCCACTTCAGCTTTTTGCATTCTCTTGCCTTCCTCCCACTGGTTTTCTCCCACCCATGGCTGATGTATTAGAAATAGAAAGAAAGAAATAGAGCAAAATAGAACTAGAAATGTTCTTCGATCCTCCTCCTTTTACCAGATATTCTACCCATGGACCTCAGCATCTATGTCCTTCTCTTTTTCTTTTTCTTTTTCTGCTCTGAGCAGGCAGCCCTGAGCTTCCCTGGCAGCCCCTGGCTCACAGCCTCCTCTAGGCCCTTTGCATCTGTACCTTCTAGACTTGGGCTGAGATTTCATGGCCTGCTAATATCCATGTATCTACCTATACTTTTTAGGTGACCTTGGGAATGGGCAGGAAGATGAAATGTTTTCGAGACCAGGAAGTCAAGTTTTCAGAGTGTACTTTCCTGGGGTGCAGGCGTTGCCATCTTGACTAGGAAATTTATTCCTAGCTCCTTGCCAGAGGAACAATCGATTCGCTACTCTCTTAACTCTTACTCCCGTGCAAGATAGGTAGGTCATCATGAACTTTGAGGAGAGAAACTGGCCTCTTGTCAAGGCCGCTAGGTGGAGAGAAGTGAGGTGGGAGGTGTGGGCTTTGCCCTGGCTGAGGGTCTCCGTTTCTCCTTTTTCCCCTGCAGCCCTGGCCCGCCACCGCTACATGAAGCAGGCTCAGGCCCTAGGCCCCCAGATAATGGAAAAACCCGTATTCTGGGGGGCGGACAGGAGCTCCCAGTTTTCATCTTATCCAATGCACCCACTGCTGCAGCGAGGTAAACCTTGTCAGAGATTTGGGGTGGGAGAGGGCAAGGGTAGGAGCATTGGCTGCATCAGGCCTTCATGATCAATATGGTGGGTATCTTGGTGATTGAGGATGGGAGGGGACGGATGCAAGCTAAATAATGTGGCATTTTCCTGCCCTGATTCTGAGGAGCATGTTTTGGGCCAGCAGTTCTGCATGTTCTTATCCTTGTTTCCATTCAGATTTGTCCCTGCGATCCAGCCTCCCACAGATGCCAATGACCCAGACCACCGCTCACCCTCCCATCACCAATGGTGTCCTAGAGTATTTGGAGAAAGAGTTGCGGAACCTCAACCTGGCCCAGCCTCTGCCGCCTGACCCCAAAGCCATACGTGGCCAACCCTGGAGCATGCTGTCTTCCCTGGGCTCTGAGGTGGTGGAACGCAGAGTCATCCACCTGCCCCCGCTGATCGGAGACCTGCCATCCTCGCGGAGGACCAGCACCACCTCCCGCCAGCCACGGCTCAGCCCCCTTCCCCCGGGACCCTGGGATCTGAGGGAGGGAGGACGGCAGCGCCACTCTTCTGATTTCCACCCGGAGCTCCGGGACCGGGAGCCTAAGCACTGGGCGCTGGAGCGAAGGGAGCTGAGCCAACAGCGGAGTGGAAGGCACCACGGCTCCAGGCTCAAGGGGTCACCCATGCCCTGGTCGGACGGGGACAGCCTCAGCGACGGCCCCTCGTCCAGCGAGGTCCGCTGGCGGCCCAGCCACCGGCCGCTCTGGAGCCGCTACCCCGAGCGAGAGCGGCGGCGCGGGCCCAGCCCCCGGGAGGGTGGCCCGAGGCGGCGCGGGCGCAGGCCCCGCAGCTACTCGCCTCCGCCGCGCGCGGGCCTCAGCTCCGGGAGCTCCGACGGGGACAAGGAGAGGCAGCCCAGGAGCTGGGGGAGCCCCCGCCCCCGCCGCCGGTCGCGCTCCCCACCCTGGCCTGAGGAGAAGCCACCCAGTTACCGCTCCCTGGATGTGACCTCAGGCAAGAATGGCAGGAAAAAAGGGAGTGTGGAGAGGCGCTCGGTGAGCCTGGGCATCCTGCTGCGGTCGGGCGTGGGCAGAAAGGACCCTTCCGTCGGGCTGGGCCACGGCAGACACAGGCCACGCCGTGCCACCACTGAGGGTACCCCCTCCCTTTTTGCACAGCTTGTCCTGTGGGCTTGGTGAGCCCCCGTGCTAGAGCTAGAAGGACGCAGTGAGGGCGGAGGGCGGGAGGGGTTCATGCTGCTGCTGACAAAGAGCCTTGTCATCCTAGCGCAGCCCTCATGTGTCCCGTGAGGCAGGTCAGGCAGGGTCCCCCCATTTCACAGGTGAGGAAATGAAGCTCAGAGTAGATAAGCACCTTGTGCATAGAGGAGCTGGGACTTGAACACGTCTTCACAGCTAAGGCTTTACTTCCTGTCATAGCTGCCTTGCTTTACTTAGCAGCCCTATTTCCATACCCCAAATTAGACCACCGACAGAGGACGTTTGTGCCGCTGCTGGGTGCTGCAAGTCAGTATGCAAGGCCCTTTTGCATTTGATGAGGCCCTCTGAGTCCTCCTGGAAAGGATCATTAGGCTGATTTGAAAAAAAAAAACACACATGATATCTCAATTATGGGTCAAAACTTTAAGACTCTGAATAGGTAAGGTACCAATGGGTGTCAGTCATAGCTTCCCAGCCTAAAAGGGGCACAGAGGCAGACATAGGCCTTTGGGGCCTTTGAATATAGACTTTTTTTTTAAGATGTGACTTTTAAAAAATCATGTTATAATTAATATACCTAAAGGATGGTATTCCTTTCATGTTGTCATTTTGCAAAACTATGCTGCCATTGCTCAAAAATATTTATGAATGGGGGGCTGCCTGGTGGTGCAGCGGTTAAGTTCGCATGTTCCGCTTGGGCCACCAGGGTTGGGGTTGGCCAATTTGGATCCCAGGTGCAGACTTGGCACTGCGTGGCAAGCCATGCTGTGGCAGGCGTCCCACATATAAAGTAGAGGAAGATGGGCACGGATGTTAGCTCAGGGCCAGTCTTCCTCAGCAAAAAGAGGAGGATTGGCAGCAGATGTTAGCTCAGGGCTGATCTTCCTCAAAAAAAAAAAATTTATGAACTGCCTTCAGAGCCAACTTACAAGCTACCCATGAAAGTCTGTTTCTCTATTTGACCCAAATCTCTTTTTGTTTCGCTTTTGTTGAGATAAAGGGATATGCAGTAGGCTCTCAGGGAAATTCCCAGAGGAGAGAAATGTTATAGCAACAAGAATTTTAGTCTCTCACACATTTTGAAGGATATAACTCTCATCAGGAAATGCAAGTTCTGCTGCGATTTGTTTAAAAACCAGTCACGCACACGGTCTGTGCAAAGGAGCAGGCACATTATGCGAGCCACAGTGCTGGTCTTTCTAGGGAAGAACCTTGATGAGAGAGATTCAGGAAGAAGGCAGCAGAGGCCCTCAAGCATTTCGGAAATAATCAATGGCAATGATATCATATTCTCACAGATGGCCCATGAGAGGCGAAGACCAGTAATAATGAAAATTAGCAGTACCCTCACTAAGTGGTACTGAACTATGGACATTTATGCAACATCTCATTTAATCCTGACAACTCTCTGTGAGGTTTGTATTATTATCTTCATTTTTTCAGTGGATACAACTCTTTCTTCCATGTTACCAAGTAAGAAAATTACATCCTCAAAGAAAACAGAGTCAGTCAAAGCTGAGACAACTACTGTTACTTCAGTCGTATAGTGACCAAACTATCTATCTTCATTTTAACAGAAAAATGTAAGTTAAAAGCCAGTTTTGCACCCCAAATCCAAACACCGTTTTCTTCTAAGTTAAGTTTTTTCTTTTCTTTTCTTCTAAGTTAAATTATGTGACTTCTTATAAGTGAGAGAAGGGTAAAAGGAACACCAGTTACTTTCCAGACACTGGGGTAAGCCCTTTCCAAGCCTTGTTTCATTTAATCTTTGCAACACCCCTGTGACACTCAGAAAGATTAAGTAACATGCCAAAGTCACACAGGCAATAGGGAGTGAAGCCAGAATTTGGACATAGCCCTCTGACTCTTAAACCTGTGCCCTTTGCAATAACTCATGCTGCCTCATTAGAAAGAGAGAAGAAAATTATGTGGGGCAATGATGTTTTCTGGTGACTATTTCTTCCTCATTTTGGGGAAGTATCATAGCTTCCTTTATCATCAAGATGTACACACCAAGAATTCTACTGCAAGCAAACCCTATTTTCAATTGTAAAGTTGCTCATGAGAAGCAAATAATTTGCTCAAGATAACTTTAAAAGCCTTTCTTGTTTTGCATCCATCTGAGCTTATCTGCCAAAGAGTTATCACTTTATCACATTCAACTGTCTGCTTATATTATGAATGACCTGAGGCCCAGGACCAAAGCTTGATTTAGAAGATTAGTTGAAGAGGACAATGTTTTGTTTGTAACTTGCATTGCGAATTCCTTTAGTGAAGCAGAAGTCTCCAGGGCCATAGTCTCGCTCTTCCCTCCTTTCTTTGGTGGAGCTGATGCTTTCCACACGCTTTCCCAGCCTCCAAAATCTGTGGAGCTTGCAGCCAGCTTCAGAAGTTATAATACAAGGGGCCACTAGATGGTGATCTTTGATTATGTATAACGAAGTTTCTGTTCACTCCTTGAGTTCACGTGTCAGTATTTTCTGAAATCAAGCTTTCAGCAGTTACAGCTTTACCATAACTTTTTACAAAACTTATTGAAAATACTTTATTAAATATTCATAGCAATATGAATTAATTGAAATCTTTTGGCGCACATGCACCTTCTCTCTCAAGAATAATGTTTAACAAGTAGATAGCAACAGACAAGGGCCTCCATGTAGATGATCTCATGGGAACCCGAAATAGGTAAGAACTAGTCTCTGCCCAGTGCCCGTGAGAAAATGGGAGTCATATTGAGAAACCTCCTATTTGACTCCAGAACCAGGACTCCAGCCAAGGTCTTCTCACTCTAGGTCTGGTGGTCTTTTCATTCCACAAAGGCTGTAACCTCGGAAATATAAGAAGCTGTAACGTCAAGCTTTAAGCTCCAGTGGTTTCAGACTGAGTGGCCTCTGTGTTCCTGGCCTCCTTCAAATCAATCATCTTTCTTTCTAATCCTGCCCTATCAGATACAGCTTTCCAAGGCATTTCTGATTTGTTCCAAACTTGGCCTGTGCACACCTGTTCTCATAGCAGAGAAAGCAACTGTGTCCTTTCCTCTCCAAGTGAGCTCAGACTTTCTGCAGAGAATCCAAGATTTCTGAAAATTCCTTCTTGACTCTTTGATTTAAGAAAGAAAAACTTTTTAGATCAGGATACTTAATCTTCTGCTTTCAATAAATCTTCTTTAAAATCTACTTTCTTCTACTTTAATCTTCTACTTTCAAAATGTCTATTCCTTGAGCATGTCTAGGTTTTTCTTCAGCAAGCCCTGGACAAATTCCTTTGGCCCCATTTCATGCTTTCCTTTGTGTCAGAAAGCATTCATCCCATAGCATTTTGATTAGAAACTGTGCCCCCTAAAACTCACTTTCCTGATAAAATGGAAACACTCAAATTTTTTTTATAGCAACCTGAAATATGTGCATATGCAATGTTTTAAACAGTATGTTTTGGGACAGATATATTATTTTTCCATTTCAAATAAGGTAAGAAAGGTCAGCTTCACAGACTGCAGCTGTAGATATTCAAAACCTAAATAAGGGGCCGGCCCCGTGGCCAAGTGGTTAAAGTTCTGCACACTCCACTTTGGTGGCCCAGGTTTGCAGGTTCAGCTCCCAGGTGCAGACCTACTCCACTCATCAGCCACGCTGTGGAGGCATCCCACATATAAAGAGGAAGAATGGTGCAGATGTTAGCTCAGGGCTAAACTCCCTCAAGCAAAAAAAAAAAAAAAAGGGATTAGCAACGGATGTTAGTTCAGGGTGAATCTTCCTCACAAAAAGCAAAGCAAACCCTAAATAAAAATCTTCCCTTGTAACACTTAGAGAAATATGAGACATGCAAACCAGAGTCCTTGCCCTCATAGAGCAAGTTGAAAAAGCCCAGAGATCAAGTGGAATAACTTCTGAGTAAAAGCCACTGAGCTGGGTCAGGAAGGGGTTAAATAGTGATCTTTGAAAAATAACTTCAGAGAAAGACTAAGGTATGAAGCTAAACTCTTTACAATAGGGCTGAGAAGGAATGGTTCAGGAGAATACAAATCAATCGGGAAAGTAGAACTGGGCGTGTCTTCATGCACGAATAGTAGGGAGATGGACTGATGACTGAAACAGGGTACCTTTCTCAGTCTAAGGGAGACTTGAAGATGTTAAAAATCTGCAAGAAGCAGAGTGAATGAGTCTAAGAAATTTTCAGAAATTGGAGACTTTGAGGGAAGCTCCAGAGAGGTAGGAAAGAAGAGAGATCTAAGTCTGGGGGAGAGATTGGCTTCATGAAGAATCAAGATAGATGTGATCTGCTGTCCCAGCACCAGCACCCCCCCCCCACCCCCGGCCCCAGGATTTGCACCAGAATCAAGTGTACCTTGTGTATTGTATGCATAGACAATGGCTCTCAACTGATTGGAATTTTTTCTGTGTTTTTCTATTCCTCAGGAGAGGGAGAGCTCCCATAGTGGAAGGAGTGTGGTCATTTAGTCACCGGGCACAGCACTACTTCTGTGGCTGCTTCTCGGCACGTCATCAGCATCACCCAGTTTTCCAGCTGACGTGGGAGGGACACTGCAAGTCTGTATCTAACAGTTTTGGCTTAGATTCTGAGAATCAAATAGAAGAATATTAAAAACAAGAGTTTGAGAAATTGATGACTGTAGTTTTAGCCTTGGTTCATATTCTCTGCATATTTAGATAGTCTCTGACTTGTAATGGACCCTAAGTGGGATGCGATCCCTCTGGAACTTAGTAGCCTGAGTGTTCAACTAGGTTACCCTGCTCAGAACCATGGCCATTCTCAAAGGGAGAACTCAGGAATCTTTAAGAAGAAATCAACTATGTTTCAGGAGTGGGAAATCTATGGAGTACTATACGGAAATGTCCATGGGAACTTGTCTCTATCCCTATAGTGCATCTCCATGTTAGGATTCCACCTTGCTGCACCATGCCCAGTCCTGAGTGCTCCTGAGGGTCCAGCCAGAGATGGCACAGGAAATAGCCCAGCGATATGCCCTCTCATGGGTTATTTATTACAAGTGTAGAAAATCACAAAGAAGCAGTTTTGCACCAACCTTATTCATGTTCCTTGTTTTCCTCATGTTGCTCTTTTTTTTTCTTTGCCTACATCTAATTTATATTTTCTTATATATTATGTACCCATTAAAATCACTTTAAATGTTTCTTGGGAATCACAGTATATAAATAAATAGAAAAGAAGTAAAATGTACTGGCCTGAGGATTCTGCCCCAAATAAATATCTACTTTGGTGCCCTTGACTGGGTTAAGCTTTCTTCCCTACTAAAGCTTGCAGAGGAGCCAGGCCAACTTGGGTAGTTCTGGGGCCACCTTTCTCCTGGCACCACTCAGCTTTGCAGAGTTGAGGTTTCCCAAGCAGAAGCATCCAGGCAGGTTTTGCCACTCAGAGAGCCCCAGGAGGAGGGGGCCATTTTACCCAGCCCCTTTGGTGGCTTTATGAATCCATTTGTGCTTGATGTAGAGACCCTCCCTGAGCAGATTGGAAGGAGATGGCCTGAAAGGAGGGGTATGTGTGTGTGTGTGTGTGTGTGTGTGTATGTATGTGTATGCCTCAACAGTATCTTTATGCATATGGCCTTAAGCTCAATTTAGATCCTGTTGTGTTGATATATCCATTTTTTCCCAGCCTCATTGTGTGTGGAGAAAATAGTTTAAATGTCTGCATTGGGCAAAGGTTTCTTTGGGATTTTTTTTTTTTTTTTTTTGAGGAAGATTAGCCCTGAGCTAACATCTGCTGCCAATCCTCCTCTTTTTGCTGAGGAAGGCTGGCCCTCAGCTAACTTCTGTGCCCATCTTCCTCTACTTTATATGTGGGATGCTTACCACAGCATGGCTTGTGAAGCAGTGCCATGTCTGCACCTGGGATTCGAACCAGTGAACCCCAGGCTGCCAAAGCAGAACGTGCACACTTAACCACTGTGCCACCGGGCTGGCCCCTCTTTAGGATTTTTGATATCCATAATGTAACTGGGTCTAAATTAGCAAAAAATAAATAAATAAAAATTTTAACAGATGATGAACACATAAAATTCAGTAGGTGAGAGACTTCTGGTCTGGACAAGATAGCATGGACCTTTTTTTCCTTGCTCTTCCCCACTGAACACAAATTTATAAACCTTGGAAATGGCACAAGAAATAGGCAAAGGGGAACTCTTAAGAATATTAAGAAGAAGGCGAGCTGATTTGGGAACCTAGGACCAGAGGAACAAGATAAAGGCAGGGCATCTTGCATCCCCCAACCAAAAGAAGGTGGCCACCCAGATCTGGCATTTTCCATCTTCTCATCTAGCAACAAAAGGTAGCCCAGTAGCTCGTTCTTCCTCCTGGATCTAGTGGGAGTCCCTCTGACAACTTTAGGCAGGGGAGCCCTGCCAAATATAAGTGACTGGGGGAAGTATTCTCCTTCTCTGCTGGGACAGAGACTCTTCCATGGGGACAGACTGCAGTGGGTTGGAGGAACCAGTAAGAGAGACTGAGGTAAAGCAGGTGGTACAGCTGGGGGAGCCTCTTTGTCTCTGAGGGCCAGAGACTCTAGAGCTGACTGGTAGGACTGTGAAAAAAGACCTGTCACAGCTAGCAGTCCTGTAGCTAGCAACCTGGTTCTGGAAGCCACTGTCTCCATGGAACTGAGACTCTCCTCTCTGGCCCAGAAAAACCTGGGTAGCTGGGGGATATCAATAGAAGGATTTCTCCACACCCCTCCCTCACCAAGAAATAGCTGGTAACCCAGCCAGAGGAAATTCCTGCCACCCCCTCAGGCAGCACCAACAGAGACTAGTGCAAGCCCCAGCATCACTGAATACATCATGCAGACCAAAATAACACCACAAAGGCTCTGAAAATTAAACAGCCATTGGAATTACAACCCACAAAGTAGGCTAAGATTCATACGTTAAACCTAAATAGAGTAACTCCCTGTAAAATAAATCGTTAAATAGGGCTCAGAGGGTCCTAACATGATAGACAAAATGTCTAGAATACAAACAGAGAACTAAGAAAACCACAACGTGAAGGAAAAACAAAATCAACTGATGCCAACACTGAGATGAATCAGATGTTGGAATTATCAGATAAGAATTTTAAGGCAGACTTTATAAAAGTGTTAAAACAATTGATTACAAATTCTCTTAAATGAAAAAATAGAAAATTTCAGAAAAGAAATAGAAATTGTGCAAAAAAGAAACAAATGGAAATGATAAAGCTGAAAAATAAAACAAAAACTCACTGGATGGGTTCAAGAGTAGAGTGGTGATGATGGAGGACAGAATCAGTGAACTTGAGGACAGAACAGTAGAATTCACCCAATCTGAACAATAGAAAATAGACTGGAAAAAATGAACAGAGCCTCAGGGACAATATATTCACTATGCATATATTTGGAGTCCCAGAAAGTAGAAGAGAAAGAGTGGGGATGAATGAGTATTTGAAGAAATCATGGCTGAAAACTTCCCAGATTTGATGAAAGACACCAACCTAGCGATTGAATGAATCTAGAAGCTGACTGAATACCAAACAGGATAAACCCAAAGAATCCATGCCAAGACACATCTTAATTAAACTTTTGAAAACTAAAGACAAAAAAAAAAATCTTAGAAGCAGCCAGAAAGAAACAATGCATTCCCTGTAGGGGAACACTAATTTGAATGGATTTCTCATGTGAAACCATGAAGAAAGAAATGGCAAAATACTTTTTAAGGGCTGAAAGAAAAGAACTGTTTGACCCATTATTCTGTATCTGGCAAAACTATCTTTCAGGAATAAAGGGACAATAAAAACATTCACAGATGAATGAACACTAAAATATTTTGTGAGTAGCAGACCTACCCCTACAGGATAAAGAAGTTCTTCAAACAGAAGAAAATGATAAAAGAAGGAAACTTACAGCATTAGGAATCAGGAAGAAACAGTAGGAAGAGCAGAAATATGAGTCCCCACAATAGACAATTGTTTTCCTTATGAGTTTTATAAATAATATTTTATGATTGAAACAAAAATTATAATACCACCTAATACTCAAAACAATGATACTTAAAGGTGGGGAAGGTAAAGGGACCTATACGGAAGTGAGGTTTCTAGACTTCATTTGAAGTGGTAAATGTAGATACTAGTACATGGTTATAAGTAGCACCCAGAGCAACCACTATGAAAACCATACAAACAGACAAACTCAAAAGTGCTATAAATAAATCATGATGGAATCCTAAAACATGTTCAAGTAACCTGTAGAAAGGCAATAAAGAGAAAAAACTGCAATGAGAAGCAGAGGAAGCAAATAGAAAATAAACAATAAAATAGCATACTAAAGTGTTAACATATCACTACTTACCTTAAATGTAAATGGTCTAAATACACCAATCAAAAGACACAGATTGGCAGCATGGATTAAGAAAAAAAAACACTATATGCTGCATATAAGAAATTCACTTGGAACACCAATTTCAAATTCATACACAGGTAGGTTGAAAGTAGAAGGATGGAAAATGATATGCCATGTATACATTAATAATAAAAAAGAAGAGCAGGAGTGGCAACATTAATATCTCACAAAGTAGGTTTCAAAGCAAAGCAAATTACCAGAGACAAAAGACATCATATAATGATAAAAGGATCAAGACACAATATACTAAATGGATACAAACTAAACCATGGAGCCTCAAATACATGAAGCAAAAACTGATAAAGCTGCAATGAGAAAGAAGGATCTACGATTATAGTTGGAACTTCAACACCCCTCCTCTCCAGCAACTGATAGAACTATTAGGGAAAAAGTCTTAAGAATATAGAAGATCTGAACAACACAATCAATCAACAGGATCTAATTAGCATATAAAAAGCAGACTACCCAACAATAGCAGAATACATTTTTCTCGATTGCCCCTGGGTCATTCACCAAATAGAAAAAAAACAAAACAAAACGTAAGATATACCATAAAAGAATCCTTGACAAAGGTAAAAGAATTGCAGTCACAGTGGAGTGTGTGCTCTGACTGTAATGGGATGAAACTGAAAATCTGTAACAAAGACAACAGGAAACTCTTGAAACACTTGGAAACTGAGCAAACACATTTCTAAATAATTATGGGTCAAAGAGGAAGTCTCAAAAGAAATAAAGTACATAGAACTAAAATAAAAGTGAAAACACAACATATCAAAATATGCAGGATTCAGCTAAAGCAGTACAGAGAGGAAAATTTATAGCACTAAAATGCTTCCATTAAAGATGAGGAAAGGTATCATTCAATAGTTGTTCTTACTTCAAGAAATTAGAAAAGGACAAAATAAACCCAAAGCAAACAGAAGGAATTAAATAATAAAGAACAGAAAATAAAATTGGAGATAGGAAAACATTACAAAAACCCAAGGAAACAAGAGGCTGGTTCTTCAAAAATATCAGTAAAATTGATAAACCTCCAGCAAGACTGACAAAAATAGAACACAATTACCAATATTACAAATGAAATAAGAGACATCATTCCAGATATTGCAGCCATTAAGAAAATATAACAGAGGAGTAGTACATACAAGTTTATGCTCATAAATAGCTTAGAATAAATGGGATAATTCCTTTAAAACCATAAACTGCCAAAACTGAAATGAATTAGATGAAATAGATGATCTGAAAAGCCCTATAACTGTTAGGGAAATTAAATTTTTAATTAAAAAGCTCTCTAAAATGAAACCTTCAGGCCCAGATAGTCTCATTGGAGAATTCGATCAAACCTTTAAAAGATAATTAACACTAAGTTTACACAATCTTTTCCAGAAAATAGAAGAGGAGGAAACATTTCCCAACTCATTTAGGAGGCCAGTGCAAAGTTGTTATAAAAGGCACTGCAAAAAAATAAAACTACAAACATCCCTCCTGAACTTAGATGCAAAAATCATCAACAGAATATTACCAAATATTTTAATACATAAAAATAATTATACACCATGAACAAGTGGAATTTATTCTAAGTATGCAAGGCTGTTTCCCAGAATAGTCAAAACAATCTTGAAAAATAAAATCAGAGAACTTACACCTTTCAATTTTAAAATGTACTATAAAGCTACAATAAGTAGGATAGTGTGGTATTGACATGAGGACAGACATATTTGATCAATGGAACAGAATTGAGAGTCCAGAAATAAATTCTTATATTTATGGTAAATTGATTTTTGACAAAGCTGTTTAGATAATTCAATGAGGGAAAAGATAGTCCCCCATGGTACCCGAGAGACCCATGGTGCTAGGTCATTTGGATATCCACATACAAAAAGATGGATTTAGATCCATACTTCATACCACACATGAACGATTAACTCAAAATGGATAATAGACCTAAATCTAAGAGCTAAAACTCTACAACATTTAGAGAAAAAGATAGAAGAAATTCTTTGTGTCCTTGGATTAAAGAGTTCTTAGATATGATACCAATAGCATAATCCTTAAAAGAAAAAAATTATAAATTAGACTTCATCAAAATTCAAAACTTTTGCACTTCAAAAGACACCATTAAGGAAATGGAAATACAAGCCACAAATTTAGAGAATACATTCACAAATCATATTTCTAACAAAATACTTCTAACCAGAATATATAAAGAAATCTCACAACTCAATAAGAAGACAGAACCCAATTTTTAAGAAAAGGCAAGACTTGAATAGAGATTTCACCAAAGAGAACCTAAAGATGACTAATAAGCACATGAAAAGATTCTCTGTATCATATCATTATTCATTAGGAAAACACAAATTAAAACCACAATGAGATACCACTTCACACCCACTAGAATGACAATAATAAAAGAGACAGACATTTATTTGTGGCATAGATGTGGAGATGTGGGGATCTTCATGTTGCTAATGGAAATGTAAAATGTTGGGGCCACTTTGAAGAGCCTTTGGCAATTAAAAAAAAATCTTAAATTTACCATATGACTCAGCAATTCCACTCCCTGGTATCTACTGTAGGGGAGGAATAATAATTTCCTCTCCCCCTAGGTCCTTCTGGCTGGCCTAAGAAGTAAATTGACAGGAGACAGAGAAACAGGAGAAAAACAAACAAAGTTTAATAATATGAGTACATGGGAGAAACCCAGGAAAACTGAGTAACTCACCAAAATGGCTGAAGCCACCGCCTTAAATTCCATCTTTACCTAAAGACAAAGGAGGATGTTGTGGGTAGTGGTTTGGGATTTCAAAGGGGAGGAAGGCAACTCACATGGAGATGGAAAAGCAAATGTTTGATAAACAAATGTTTGCTGGGCCATCTATAGACAATGGGACCTGAAAGAGATCTTTTGAAAAAGTGGCCCTTATTAGATTCCTTCTGGTCTTCCACACCTAGAATTATCTATAGTGATAGCCCCTTCCTCTCAGGGCATTCTGTCTGAAATTCTTTTAGGCAGTTAGAGGGAAGGTCAAAGTTTCCTTCAGAGATTTTTGTCCTTAAAAATAATCAAGCCAAAGAGACACATTTTGGGGTGGCCAATTTTGATCCCCTACACTACTCAAAAGAAATAAATATCTACATAAAGACTTGTACATAAACATTCACAGAAGCCTTATTCATAATAACTTAAAAAGTAGAAAAAAATCTAAATTTCCATCAACTGCTGAATGGATGAACAAAATAGAGTATATCTATACAAGGGAATTCTATTTAGTAATAAAAAAAATTATTGATGCATACTACAACATGCATGAACTTCAAAAACATCATGCTAAGTGAAAGAAGCCAGATGCAAAAGACCACATATTGTATGATCCCATTTATATGAAATGTCTAGAAAAGGCAAATCTATCGAGACAGAAAGTAGATTAGTGGTTGCCTGGGACTGGTGTTGGAGAAGGAATTGACTGCAAATGGACAAGAGTTTTCTTTTTAGGGGGATGGAAATGTTCTAAAATTGGGTTATGGTGATGGTTGCACAACTTTGTAAATTTACTAAAAGTCATTAAATTGTACACTTATAATGAGTGAATTCTAGGATACGTCTACTATATCTTAAATATAAAAATCTTAAGTATGGTAGATGAACATCATTCCAAAATGTGTTCTTTGCATATATAATGAGTGACAGAAATCCTTTTAAAATGTGTTCATATGAATGCTAGTCTTTTTTTTTTTTTTTGAGGAAGATTAGCCCTGAGCTAACTACTGCCATTCCTCCTCTTTTTGCTGAGGAAGACTGGCCCTGAGCTAACATCCATGCCCATCTTCCTCTACTTTGTACGTGAGATGCCTATCACAGCATGGCTTTTGCCAAGCGGTGCCATGTCCACACCCAGGATCCAAACCGGCGAACCCAGGGCTGCCTAAGCGGAACGTGTGTGAACCTAACCGCTGCGCCACCGGGCCAGCCCTGAATGCTAGTTTTAATTAAATTTTTTTCTACTCTAACAGAAGAAAAGGAAAGTGAAGTGAAACTGGAGGAATTGTTAAACTTCAAATCTTTCAATTGAGGAGATTTTATTTTTGAAAACAGCCCTCCCAGATTATGGGAAAAAAACAATGGAAAACGTTGAGCAGTTGGAGTCATTGCGCTTTAAAACCCCAGATTTCAAATGGACTTCCTGGTATAAAAATGAGAATGCTAGCCACTCTCATATTTCCTCTAATCTCTCTGCTCCTCACCTCCCAACTTAGTTTTGTTTTTAAAGCAAAGTTCCCAGTTATATTTATTTTAGAAAACCTGAAAAAGACCATTTTTATTCAAGGTTATTTTCCAGCTTCTACAGAAGGGATAAAAAAACTTCTGATGGCCATCTTAAAAATCAGAAACTGTTCTGGTCTTTCATAATTCTGTAGAATAAAATGCTGTGCTTTTGGTGGGGGGGTAGTTTCATGGAGGACAGAGTTCATAAAGTTCATTTTAAGTTCAGAATCATCAAGACGTGAACTAGCCAGGCCTTCGGACTTCTTTTCATGATCTCAAACATATTTCACAGTTCTTGACAAACACAAAGATTCGTATCTCAGATGAGTCATTAGACAGTTTGACCGCACAAGAGTATTAATTTCTTTACCTGGCATAGCAGGAAAATACAGCAGAGAAATTCTCGGTAAAATAGAGCTTAATCAACTTTTGTATTCCTGGAGATCTCATCTGAACCTGAATTAGTAAGTATAACCTTTGTTTCGACCCTCAGGTCAAAAATATACTGTGCCCTCTCGATCCTATTATGAGAAAAAAAGTGATTTACAACATATTGTCTGAATGAAAAAAGTGCTTTTAGGACCTGTTATATTGTTCAGTTTCCTTTTAAGTTAAAGTCATTGCCCTTCCTTAAGGGAGGCTCAAATTTTGGTTACATAGTTTATTCTTTATAGATGAGATATATTATTCTGTTTGTGTACACAAATATATAAGTATATTTTATCAAAGTTTATAATATTTATTATCTATCTTAAAATCATAATTCTCCTAATTAGTATTGGTTTTATATTTAATGCAGCTTCTCCAATTCCAAGTTCTTTATTTTTTTTTTTTTTTTTTTTTTTTTTTTTTTTTAATAAAGCAGTTTTTTTTTTTTTTTTAAGATTTTATTTTTTCTTTTTTCTCCCCAAAGCCCCCCAGTACATAGTTGTATATTCTTCGTTGTGGGTCCTAGTTGTGGCATGTGGGACGCTGCCTCAGCGTGGTTTGATGAGCAGTGCCATGTCCGCGCCCAGGATTCGAACCAACGAAACACTGGGCCGCCTGCAGCGGAGCGCGCGAACTTAACCACTCGGCCACGGGGCCAGCCCCTCAAGTTCTTTATTTTTATTCATCTTTTCTTACCTGGATTTCATCATTGCATGACTTTTGCAAGAGGTTCTCACAAGGCAATCTTACTTGAGTTTGTTCCTGTTTATGAAAGCTGTCAGTACCCCTAAAATTTCAACCACATCTTGGTATATTTTTTTCTTTAGAATATTGTAGCAATTGCTCTATTATCTTTTGGTATTGAATGTTGACGTGGAAAAGGACTGAGGACAGTCTGTGAGGAGCTTTTTCCTCTTCTCTGTAGATCAATGTTTTTTAAAGTGTGGTCCCCAGATTAGCAGCACCATCACCTGGGAATTTGTTAAAATGCAAATTCTTAGGCCCCCTTTTACAGCTACTGAATTAGGAACTTCAGCTATAGAATCTAGTATCTGTTTTAACAAACCATCCAGGGGCTTCTCATGCACACTTACATTTGAGAACTGATTAAATATTTACTTTTTCTCCCTCAATACTTGAAGATTTCTTATCTCGAAACTCAGTAACCTAATCCAGGATATTTTAGAATTGAGAGTTCTCTATCAAAATTTCCTGGACTCATCTTTCAATGTGTACTCTGGCTGTCAAGGATGCATAGCAAAAAAGCTAGCCACTTGGCTTTTATGACTCAATGACCATACATCTCAGGGTAGTTTTAATTTATGCCTGTTATCCCAGAATATTTATTACTAGGGCCTCCTTTCACTCTCAACAGCGTCACAGTTTGGATGATAGTTATATGGTCACTCTATTTATGACCAGTGAGTCCAATGGTTTGTAAAATATCTGTGACTGGTCATGATACTGTATGGACTCTGTGGAATCCCTAATAGGAGAGTCAGAATAGAGGTCCATAGGGTTTTGGAGCAAAATCATGCCTGTTTTGAAAAGAAATTCCCTCATCTTGAGAGAGAGCTCTTGGCTTGCTATTGGGCTGTGGTTAGAAACTGAACATGCACTTGATTGTGGAACACCAGCTGCTCCACGTGAATTAGGTGTTTGATCTACCAAGCCATAGGGTCAGGCATGTCCAGCAACACTCCTTCATCATGTGGTATACTTGGGGACTGGGCTTGAGCAAGTGTAAATTAGATGAGCAGATGACTTTCACTCCTGGGATGCCTATTCCCATTGCACTGCCATCCTACCCTCGTCCTTTGCTTAAGCCACATGGAGTGTTCTCTATGGCCAGTTGACTGAAAAATAAAAAATCTGGGCCTAGTTTATAGATAGTTTTGCGTGACAGCTGGAGTTGATTTCTGCAATGCAGCAGCCCCATCAAGGAGTGGCCCTGCAGTAAAGAAAAACAGGGAATTCCATCCAGTGGGCAGAATTCTCATCAGGACACCTCACTGTCTGTTTCGCCTGTAGGCAAGCTGGCCTGAGGAGCAGCTCTATAGAAATGCATGCACGGGGGCTAGTGATTTGGCAGGACAATCCAGGATATGAAAGCAGTAAGATATGAGGATTGATAACAAGTTGGCCTGGAGAAAGAAGTATGTGAAGGGATCTCTCAGAACGAACTCAGAGCGTCAGAACATTTGTGTCCTAGGTAAATGCTCACCAAAGGGCTTTTACTTCAGAGAAAGTTTTCTTTACCTAGATAAACATGTTAAACCTCCTATTCCAGTGCTAGGCACCCTGTGATCAATTATTCAATGCCAAATATTCCTGTGGGCCAAACCATTATGATTACCCCATCAGCTCTTCTGCGTATTAAAATAACCAGCCCAAGTTATCTCTGGTAATTTGGTGCTACTTATTAGTCCCTGCCACCCTGGGATGTCACCATCCTTACTGAAATCATAGAACCTGTTTCAATATCAGTATTTTCCATGTTCATCTCTGACCTACAGAAGACAGCCACTGTGGTGCTTTTCAAATATGTTGATACTATCTCCTTTAATGTATTTCTCAATGCTCTTATGACAGGCATGTCCTTGGGGCTGGTAATATATAACAGATCCACTCTAACATTCTCATCTCTCTAAATCTTTCTCTTCCTTCCTCTACAAGAGATATGGCATCTCAACTCAGCATAGGCCAGAAGTGAATCCAATTTTCAGTCTACCCAGAACAAAAAGAGAAAATAATTAGAACTCTACCAACCGTGTGTGATAGCACATTGAATCCAGAAGCTCTGGTAAGTACACCTACATAATAATTTCAGCCTAATTGAAATTTATTTTCCTCCATCCCTGTGGGGTACCCTCACAATTCAGTTCCATGTATATTCCCCCAGGGTTTTGCTGATAAACATTAGTGCAATTTTGTAACTGTTTTGCCATGCAGGTCTCTTGCTTCCAAATTTGGCTTGGTAACTGGCCCCACAGGCATTTTAGGATCTGGCTCTAGTGGTAGATGTGGAGGCAGTGAAGGAGAACTAAGTAGGGCATGAGGAGAATTGGCACTCACTTGCCAGGTAATCACCTTAAGTGGGATCATTATACAGTCTTCAAGCAAGGCAGGATCACCATCAATCAGGGGTAAAGAGGCTGCTTCTGCTAGCAACAGAGGCTCAGTGGTGTGTGCAGTTAACAGATACCTGGCGTCGTCTGAACTCTCGGTGACGATTCCAATGTGTGGGTCCCGTTTGATACCCTGTCCCCTTATCTTCCTCACATTTCCCTGAATGTCTGTCCTTATTTGTTTTTGTCTCTTCTGTGGCTCTTTCTGTCTCTCTTTCAAACTGTGTCCTCACACTTTAGCTTTTCTTTCTGGATTTGCTCATCTGTCCTCTCTGCTGACCACCTTCTTTCACAGGATTCCAATTTCACGCCTGTTTAACTTTTGCTTACACAAAAGTTGACATGGGGCCCACATCCCTGCCCCCCAACTACCTATACCACCTTGAATTTGATGTCCTACACCATCTGACTCTCTGTACCTTTGTCTCAATTATAAATTCTTGAGAGACTCGGATGAGCCCTACTTGGGCTAATGTCCACCCTTGGTCCAATCTGCAAGGATGGTAAAGTCCCTAGGGCTTCCCCTCTTCTGGGTTGTGGCTGGAGAGTTTCTCTAACAGAGAGGTTTGGGTAGGGAGGATCCTGTGGAGAATATAAGAGAAATACAGATATGATTCTTGTCTTTGGGGGATTTATTACCATGAGCTCAGAGACTGCTAGGCTTCATTATTAGAATTCTGGCTCCTTTTGAGTTTCCATAATTGAATATTCTAGAGATTGTAGATGGAGTTAGCCCAGGATAGGTTTACAACAATACAGTTCTAACTTACTGAAGATCTGAACTTTCTTCGCCACTTATTAAACTTAACATAGTAGATTGTAGTATTTATGGAGTGCTTACTGTATCCCCAATGCTTTGTACATATTATTTTATTTTATTCTCTCTGAAACTCTGTTAACAGTTATTATCATCCTTTACTCAAGGTTCAGAGAGATTAAGAAACTTGCAAACGGACCCATAGTAGTAAACAGAATAGAGATTCAAACTAGAGTCTGCCAGTCCAGAGTCCATATTTGTTCTAATAATGATACAAAGCTGCCTCCATAACCAGAACAATAAGGAACTTACCTTTAGTTAGGACTAAATCCACCTCTTCTAGAGCTCCTAGTGTCTCAGGGAGCATCAGAGCAATGCAGAAAACAGGCATATTAAAGGTGGATTCCAATATGACATCAAAATTGAACCTCATGCTTGGTTTCAGGGAAAAGCTGACAACTTCCAATACAGCTGACCTTAGAAATACCAGGGCAACACTCAAGGAACATTATATACTAAAGAACAATTCCCTCCTCCTCTTCTTATCTACAATGTCTTGGTGAGGAAATAAACCAAATAAAGTCACCATTAAATTAAAAAAAAAAGTAGATTGGGCTGGCTTTGTATGTTACTGCCCAGCCTAGGAAGTAAGCTATATGCCACTACTCAAGTTATGCATTGCAGCACAGTCTATGTGCCACTAGACTGGCCTCCTAATTTATCAGGGACCACGCAAGCCTTTATAGACCCTCCCTGCACCACACCAAGCATTATTCTGCCTCTCACAAAAGCTTCTGCTATAGTCTATGGAAGAAAGGAAAGGTTGACAAAACAAAAATCACATCATGTTTGGGGTTTTAGAAAGCAAACTCACAGGAATCACTCTATTAAAAAAAAGTGTACTGCAGTAGGAGAATGGCCAAGAAAAACTGAGATTTATAGACTTTATAATGTACATTTAAGAACAGCTTAAGATTTCTGGTTCTGGCCAAGAGGGAGTGGCCTCATTTCTTCCTAGTCCTCCCTCTCTCTACTAAACAATCTTACACATAGCGCAACAAACATAGGAAGATTCTGAAAGGTGAGAAGAAAAAGGTGGACCACCTAGGGATCTCAGGATTTGAGGAATGACATGGTGGCAAATTCCTTGAGTTTCCTTTTGTTTCCTATATATTTCAGACAGGGTGCTGGAGAAGCCTATAACGTGGAAAGACGAACAGGTGCAGCCAAAAAAGGCCTCCATAATGGCTGCTGTCTCTAGCCAAAGAACTGGAAAAAGAGCAGCTTAGCAGAACAGAAAACAGTTTTTACAATATCCATCCTACTCTAACCAAACACCAGTGGAAGAACTGTCTCCTCCACTATAGTGTCTGTGCGACTGATCAGGGAGCTGAACTTTCATCCCTCAACCAATGATAGCGTTCTGATTTCCCCAGCAGGGTTGCATCTGCAGGGTCAAACAGTGATAACAGGCAGTACTGCAATTCCCCCGTTGAGGTAGTGTCAGCATGACCAAGCGAGGAGCTGACCCAGTTGCTAGGAGAGAAAAGGGGGTGCACTAGTCAGCATTCTTCTTCCTTCCTGCTCTGTGTCAGCCGGGCCCAGCGGGGAGCTGAATTTCTGTCTTTGCCAGGCAGCAATGAGATGAAATGAGGTGATGCAGATTGGCCCTCCACTTTCTCCACTATCCCCACTTCCCCATCCCCAGTTTGAGTGGAGCCCAGCAGAGAGTTGAAAGCCCACACCCACCCAGTAGCAACAAGGTGAAAGAGGGAAGTATGAGGTGGTGCTAATTGGCACTCTTATCACCCCTCTAGTGTGGGGTCCAGTAGGGAGCTCAACTTCCACCTAAACCCAACAGCAATGAGTTGGTGCCAGTTGGTGTCACAGGACCCAGTGTGGTGTCACAAGACCTAGTGGACAGCTGAACATGCACCCCCACTTTATCTGAGCACTATATCTAAACAGGGTGACCTTGCCAAAAAAAAAATTAATAGTATCCAGAGTCTAACAACATAATACCCAAAATGTACAAGATAGAAATGGAATTATCTGAAGAGGATTGTAAAGCAGCAATCATAAAAATGTTCCAACTAGCAAATATAAACATTCTTGAAACAAATAAAAAAAGAGAAAGTCTCAGCTAAGAAACAAAGCTATAAAAAAAAAAACAAAGAGAAATTGTAAAACTGAAAATTATAATAAATGAAATAAAACTCACTAAATGCACTCAAGAATACATTAGAGATGACAGAAGAAAGAATCAGTAAACTCAAAAATGGATTAATGGAAGCCATCCAATCTGAACACCAACAACAAATGAACAGAGCCTCAGCGCTGTGTGGGACAATAACAAAAGATCTAATATTTACATCATCAGAGTTCCAGGAGCAAAGGAGAAAGAGGGTGGGGCTGGAGAAACATTCAAAGAAATATTCCAAGGCTGAAAAAGTTCCCAATTTGATGACAGGCACAAATTTATAGGTTCAAAAATATTAGTAAACCACAAAAAGGATAAACCATAGGAAAAAAAATCTAAGCCATGACACATTGTAATCAAACTTTGAAAAACCAGAAACAGAAAGAAAAAATCATGAAAGTAGTTATGGAGAAATGATGTATTGTCTATAATGGAAAAATGAGAAATTGTTCAAATGACAGCAAATTTTTTTAATGTGTTAAGTAGTTTATTGATTTACAAAGTGATTCTGCGCAGGATGTGCAGCTCAAACCCTGCAGCAGTGGCAGCCCTGGCGCCCTGGACAGCAAATTTTTCATCTGAAACCATGGAGGCCAGAAGGAAGTGGCACAACATTTTCCAAGTGCTGAAAGAAAAGAACTGTCAACCCTGTTTCCATATCCACGGAAAATATACTTCAAGAATGAAGGGAAAATAAAGGCATTCTCAGATGAAGGAAAACTAAATAACATTGTCACCAGCAGACCTGCCAGTAAAGGATGACTAAAGAAAGTTCTCTAAACAGAAAGGAAATGATAACAGAAGAAGGCTTAGGACCAGCAAAGAAGAAAGAGCAACGCAATGGGCTTTTCAAAACTCCCTGTGGTCTCTTGCTCCCCAGGGCTCCCTTTAAAATATTTGGCTGCTCTCTTGCTGCCTCAACCTTTAGCGCAGCCCCAGGCAGCTGCAATGCCAACCTTGACCATACTGCTGCTGATTGCTATTCTTTTCAACAACATCCAGGCATAGAGGTTTTCTGAGGTGCTCCAAGTCAGGTCAGTTTCCTCCAGCAGCAGCAGGTCCTCACGACTACCTTACCATAAAGCTGGCACACAGGAAGAAGGATGAAAAATATAGAAAATAACATAAAAAACATAAAGAATAACATGAAATATTCTAATTTACATGTAATTGGAGTCCTTAAAGGAGAGAAGGAGAGGAAGGAGAGGGAGTGAGGGGGAGAGAGGGAACGAGACAAAGAGAAAGGAATAGATAATAGCACAAAGGCAATATTTGAAGAGATGAAAGCTAAAATTTTTCCAAAACTGATGAAAGACATCAAGCCACTAATTCATGATGACCTGCAAACCCCAAGCAGGATGAATGTAAAGAAAATCACATCCTGACACATCATAGTAACACTAATAAAAACCAAGGTCAAAGAAAAAAATTTTATATTGGCTAGAAGGGGAAAAATATTATCTTCAATTTTTAATTGATTTGGTGCTGACTTTTTAACAGAATGATGGAAGCCAGAATATAAGATGTAAAAGAAAATAACTGCTAATCTAGAAATACGGACCCTCAAAATACACACAGCAAAAATATCTTTCAAAAGTAGAGAGGAAATATTGTATCAGACTAACAAAAACTGAGAATACATCCCCAGAAGAATTGCACTAAAAGAGCAACTAGAGAGTTCTTCAGGAAAAGGAAAATGATCCCAGATAAAAGTAAGG